AATTCGTTGACGCCATCATAATAATTTGTGGTGACTCCCACATACAAAGAAACAGAAACGTACTACAGCGCCATCTAACGAAGACACACTGAACTACGGAGTAACTCCTAAATAAGAATCGCTAATCCTGTATCGCGATATGAAGAATTATTGCCGATCAACATACATATATACGACTTCCCAACATCAACCGTTGGGCCGCGGCCCGCCGGTCATGCTCACCTCGCCTGGTCGGAGGATCCGCCTTTTGCATTTGAGGGACATGACACCCGTTCCTCCACAGGAGAATGTCGCAAACGCCACATCACTCCCCCTCAAGCAAAGCGTTCGTTGGATTTGACGAGCCTCTCGGCTTGAGTGACGTAGGCGTCGCGCTCAATGGCAGGAACGGTTATGTTGCTTGATGTCGTCGCAGTTGCACTCCTAGTTGACGGTGTTAGCTGCTTTGTACATTGCTAGTCGCTGAATAGATGAGCTGATTTCAATCGGTTTATTATTATTACTGCGGTACGTAATGGTAGTTGAATGGTGTATTGTTTACCGCTTGTGCCCTCGCGTGGCGGTGTAAGAACACAGTGACGTTTCGTACAAACACATGTGTGCAGGTTTGATAGTCTTTATGTAGGAATGTATTTAGTTTCGATGTATGCCATTTTATTCTAGGTGTTAATGACGACATTGTTTCGGTCAGCTGACGTACGAACTCTGCGTCGGTGATGTTTGGCTCTGTAGGCACGAAGAAATCCGACGGAATGCGTAATGTAGAACCGTAGGTCATTAAGGTAGGGCTAACCGAAGAGTCTTGACAAAATGCTGTACGTAGTCCAAGTAGCATGGTAGGTAATTCCTCGCTCCACCTTAGCTTAGTACGCTGTTCTTGCCATTAATGCTGCTTTCAACGAACGATGCCATCGTTCTATCTGCCAATTTGCTTGTATGTGGAAAGCAGTGGTACGTATACTATTGTAAGTGCGTTTAATCTTCTATAGTCACCGCATACACGTAGTGAACCGTCCTTTTTCTTTTCGAACTCAATCTTCGCTGCTTTATATTTATCGGGCGGCAGTGGACGTGGCCCAAAGTAGATAGGCGGTCCCGTTGTTTCGATGTGATGTGTGACGTCATGTTTTGCTGTAGTCTCGACTTGCATTGGATGTAGAATATCAGGATACTGTTTCTGTATTTTGTAGCGTAGTTACGCTTAATTAGGTACACGGATTCTTCTGAGCTCGGTGACACGATCTACTATCATTTGTTTTGTAAGTCTACTGTTACTTTATATCTTGCTAGAAAGTCGGCACCTACCTAATATTGAAATTTTCACGTCGGCGACCACAAATGTCCATTTAAAACTTCTACGTAAGTCTATGTTGAGCTCTAGTGTGCGCTTTCCGTAGGTACGTATCTATATGCCGTTCGCAGCCTATAATTTACATGTGCTCTCAGTAGGCTTCAAAAATATTGTTTTCTTTGCGGCTAGTACGGACATGTCGTCTCCTGTGTCGACAAGAACCTTTCTTTCTTTCTTTATAACACATAGGCGTTGGGTTCCCTGAATCACACCGACGTCTGCCACGGTCGGTGTCTTCATTAGTTTTTCTGGTTATTCCTAGTATCATTTGGATTTATTTTTGAGCACGGCGATTCGCATTTACGTTCGTCGGCCCCGTAGCGATAGTGATAATAGCACAACCTATCAGCGTCGTCGGGTCGGCGACGAGAGCGTGATCGGTATATGGATACGGGAATTTACTAGATGTTCGCTCGGCGCTCTTGAGCGACTTTTAAAGCGCGAGCGGTGCAGTGGACGTTTGAGGCAGGTAGTATGTTGAGCGTTGCTGGTTTGAGTGATAGTTTCTCAATTTGTTTTTGAAGTAGGTTAAACTACAGGTTTTCTACTTCAGTATTTTTTTTTGTTGTTTTCACACTATGACACAGTGGGTTCCAAATTCTCCAACATTTTGTCGGCCATTGCAGCTAGGATGTGAGAATGAGGACTCTTTGTTTATGGCTAGCATCTGTGTAGGTAATTAGTTGAGCCAAATTACTTGCAATGCTTCGTCTATTAGTAGCTTCCCGCAATGGTCACGCATTTTTCGTAATAATTGGCTAGGTTTTGAGTCGCCGAGTTCTAGACCGCCGAGTAGCTTTTGTAACTGACGGTGGTCTGATTCTTGGTACGTGGATATTAGTCTGTTCTTTAATGTGATGTATTTACCAGTAGCGGTTGGATTCAGTATAATATCAACGATTTGTTCGAGGTCATCGCAGCCGAGGAGTGGAACGCCTAGAGTGAATTTTTGTTCTTCCCACTCCTCGGGAGCGCGAGGCATGATCACCTGGCCTAGTCGGAGGATCCTCCCTTTGTTTTGGAGGGATATGAAACCCGTTCCTCCACAAATTATTCGTGTCTTCATTATTTATGTATATGTTATATTTTTTTATGTTTATATTATTAAATAGTCTTCCTGAGTCTGTCGGTATTCTTTGTGTCCGTTTCCAGTATGTTTGTAAAGTAAAACACAGGAAGTATAAATAAATAGTCAATGTTTGGTTGAAGTAGATCCGTGCCAAGTCATGATCCTTTTACAGAGAAGTTACTCCAGACAAAGAGCAGTCAGGTTCAGCTTGAATTGTTTACATTGTTGCTCTTATCGTAAATAAATAATAGATTGAATATGTAGGCTCATAAAAGATCACAAGAGGTTAATGACTTTATATGCACCGCCTTAATCTTGTCTCGTCACAATATTGAGGAGGAAACAATTAAATAATGTTGTGACGAATCATATTTTTGTTTCGTTTTGTTCCTCATTACATATACACATTGTCCGTGTGGTAACAGATTAAGAATACAAAGTGTCACCACCTATATTCATCCCGTAAGAGTCGACGAAGGGAGCAAACTACGCAGGACAACAGCACTATAAAGAGATGGAAATCTTGAAATAAACCCTACACTAGCCCGTCTAGCCAGCGTGGTATAGTAGGTCAAAACCTCCTTGTGACTCTAGAGTGTCGTGACTAGCTTTCATAGTAGCCCTGCTTAGTTTGAAACTAGATATCGTTGTGTGTCAGATTTCCAAAATATTATTATTATTAGCCTGATTACTAGGCCACTGACAATTCTATTCAATGCCGAAGTTAAACTGCTGATAAATAGTGAGTAAGTGAGGACTGAAAAATTACATTTTCATTTAATATTTGCGTCAGTATAATGATATGTCAAAATCAATAAATTACTAAGCGTTTTTGATCATTACTATAAAAGATATACTAAATTGGTGAAAGACTACCTCCATAGTGAGTTGGGTTTGGATAGACGTGTTGAACTTACTATATTGTCACACTTGCGATCAGGGCGACCCATCTGTTCCCTTGCCCCTTATTTCATAAAAAAAAAAAAGGTTGTCTGTAAAGTCGGTTTACTGACGATAGTTGAACGTGACAACGTCATAAGAAAATACTGATGGAATGGTAGCATTTTTCAAAAATGTATTATTGTATACGAGTAGCAACTGTCCACGCGGACGCATCGCTCACTCAAGTAGAAGAGAGACAGATGTCGAACGCTGCCGAACGCGGAGGCCGATTGTGCCTCTTTGTCACTCGTTCCACGCTCTCGCTTGCACTTCACGCCTTAAATGGAACGCCTCAGAGCGAGGTAACGCCGCATGAGTCATGTTTTTTCGTGCGTGCAGCCGGCTCCATCAAATTATAAGACGTTGTCACGTCAAAAAGCCATTGTGCCAAGCCAAGCTACTGTGCGCTTTTCAAGACACTTTTTGCCTCGCCCAACCAATCTGTTGAACAAGTTATCGTCTGCGGTATTTCCGGACCGATAAGACCTCCAAACTTTCAAGAAAAGAGCATACTTCTTCCACAAAGACCGGCAACGCGATTGTGACTCCTGAGCTGCAGGCGTACATGGTCGGCGGTAGACGCTTTCCGTCAGGTGACCCGTCGCCCTGAACTCTGCTCGTTTGCCCCCTCTTCTATAAAAAAACAACAGATAGAATTTTCTGACAACCAAACTAGCCTCACAAGCATTTTTCTTGGCTTAGGAATTTAAAGTTAAAAACGCGTGAAGTTTATTTCACGGTTTTGCTTTATTTTTAATGGTCTGATTCTACTGCTAACCATGCAATTTAGGGTGCCCTTCTCTTATAGAATTAAAGGGTAAAAAAGCTATCTTTGTGTCTATTTGTTTCACATTAGTAAAAATCTAAATACTCACCAACTTAAATCTTTGCTCCATTCGTGTAATCCAATACAGGATATTGTCCTAACTATAACCAGCACGGGTGACATAAGAAGGTTATAATTTATTGTAAATCAAACCTGTACTAAATTTCCCCTTTGGAGCGATCTTTAAGCACAATATGATTTTATTTAGACTTTGTTATTTTTCTAGTAATCTGTAACTTTCAGTTACATTGTTCTTAACGCTAATAAATAAGTTTCTTTTTTGTTGTCTGCAAATATAAGTGAATCATCTTTTCTCACTTCTTTCTAGGTAATATTCACAAGTAAGACCCCTGCGGTATGCCTCACCAAAATTTTATAAATGTGCTTTTAAATTAAGGAAAAAATACTCTGAAATATAGTTATATTTTATATGTAAAGTGTATCTAATGCTTTTCGCTATTAACAATGAGAAGACTCCTATCTACTCTATTGTTTAAATTTGAGGGTCGCCTGTGATAAGTTGCAAAGGTTTTTAATGTACATGCGAAACCCCAATGTATGTATCTATATCATTGGCGTAGCACGATGGAAGACGGTGCTCCAGATATGTATCAGGCGGTGTGTGCTTACATAAATGAATTCATTTACTCGTCCGAGTATCATTTGGTATAACACCGTGTGTCTTAACGCTCCAACGTGTAATAAACATAATAAGTTACATTTTCATTTGAAACTTTTATTTGCTAATATTTATTTAAGTTTATTATTTGATATTTTCTGATCGGTGTTAAGTGCCCCTCTTTATTGGAATAATGGTTTCTTTAACATTAACGGTAAGTGTTTATTTTTATTTATGGAATTTATTTTCTTCTTCATTAATAATTCATAAAATTGCATTTTACATCTTTCGTCATTTCAATTATTTGGTTTAAATCACAACATATGTTAGATTTTTTCTTACCTACCCAACAGTAAGTTTCATTAAATCGTTCTAGGGACTAAAAACTTAAATAGTATTATCAGATTTACAGATTTATTAAAGCTTTTTCTAAATTTATTTCTTCTAACGATAAGGTTAGGGTTGATTGTCGGTATTCATTCATTTTTCTATCTAATCTTATTACAAAAGGGTTTGAATTTTTAGCTACATCTTCTTACAGCTTTTCTTATTAATCTCACATACACGTGTATTGTAGACACATGTTGTCTAACATTATAGTTACTAGTATTTGTAGAATCTGTGTTACACTCCTAACATTCACCTTTAGTAATTTTATCTCGTAACTAGTCTGACCTGTGTGGATCTCGGTTCCTCAATGTCTACGTGTAGTGTAGTAGTGATTAAATAAAATATACTATCACAAACGATTACTGTATTGGTTTTAAAATGAAATTCTAAATAACTTTCTTTTACTGATAAGAATGTAGGTGTTATTATATTAAACAGCGATCTGTTTTCTTCTACAACTAAATTAAAACCTTTCATTGGCGTTTTTTAATTTGTCACTGGGATTTGACTTTAAATTAAAAAATGTAATGTTAGTTTAATGTCAAATTAAATAGGGGCGAGAATGTAATGTAAATATTCTCAATTATAAGTCAAGTATTGGTTACGTATAGTTTTAACATTAATTCATTATTATAAGGTAAATTCATTAATGATATTAATTCTTCTTCACGATACGACGTAAGTTCAGAGATGTCGACAAAACACTTACTTAACCAATTTAATTTAATGTTTTCTGGTATATTTTTATCATCTGCAAGTCAGGTATTATTTTAAATTTACATATTGCTGCAGTTTTTTTTTGAAAAATGTCTATTTATCTGTTCTACACTCATGTAATATTTATAAATTAGCAGATTACTTTCATTTTAAATCAATACCAATAAATGGAAGAGGTTCTCATTTCGGCTGTATATTCTTTTGATGTTTGTTAAATCAAAATTTCACAATGTATCTATCTATTTATGAAAAATTCTTTTTTAACAAGACCATCCCCGTTGTGTGACATTCAAGTTCGAAGAAAAAGTCCATATAATTTAAGAGTTTAATAACAATTCACCATATTGTAGGTGCATTAAAGTCAGTTATATCTTTTTTAGAGTTATTCATCCAATATATGCAGGTCTTGATATTTACGAGGAAATATATCAAAAAGCATTTATGTATCACTGGAATTGTTGTCACCTATACCTTGTCTATCATTAGCATTATCCTTAACAGGATTCGTTATTATACCATATAAAACTTTTACAAAACAATGTTTACTATCACGACCTAAACATGTTTTGCTTACATTTGTCTCGGTTAATAAACTTTGATATTTATTATTGTATTATTTTATTTGAAGTTATGTCTGGCTCAAATCGTTGTTGGTTCTTAATATTTTTTGATGCAGTATGTTATGTATGCTTTGAATTAAAAGCTGTCAGTAATTGACACAGTGCCTTAACATTGTAGGTTTCTGCCAGCGTTTAATCTATTTAAAAAGTGATTTATTAAGTATATACAGAAATACATAGTATCGAGCCCCATAAAGGGGGGTGGCGGTAGACACAATAAACGACACTCTCTCAGTCTCACAGACAAATATTGCAAGTTGTTTTGTGAGGCATTTCATACTGTTATGTAGGAACGCGTGTCATGTCCCTCCAACACAAAGGGATGATTGATTGGGGTTGACGTTGGGAAGTTTTATATATGCTAATCGGCGAGAGAATTCTTGATATCGCGGTACAGGATTATTAATTCTAATTCAGGACTTACACCGTAGTTTGGTGTGTCTTCATTAGATGGCGCTGTAGTATGTTTCTGTTTATTTGTATATGGGAGTCGCCACACTGTAATATTTTTAATATAAACTTAGTTACATAATAAAAATAAAACCAAAAAAAGAACCAGGTGACCCATCTGCTTTTTTTATCCCCATACCATTTAATAGACTTTTTGATATATGGTACTCCCAGTGCCATTTTCCACTCGAGCCTTGCCATATGCCTAACTTGAACTTCCTCGATTTATCCATCTTCTGTATCTAAATGTACTTTCTTTCTTTGTTTAGTTTGAAAACTACAGTCTCGAAAAGAGTCTGAGAGAATATTTCAGCACAAATGGGCTGTGTGAACCGGTGTAAAATAATTCCTTCGTTGCTTTTCACTGGGTGAGGTTCCCATAAGGTTTAATTAGAATAGAATAGAATAATCTTTATTGTACACCAATTGACTACATTATTCATAGAACAGTATTTCAAGTTTACACCATAAAAGAAAGAGTATGGGTCAATTCGGCGTCGGTCTTAATCCAAATTCCACTTTTAGTAATACTTTCTATTTTATAACAATTTGTGAATCACACAAAGTGTTGGGGACCACACTTTGTGTGATCCACAAATTGTTTTGTTTGAACCCACAACACTCGGCGTAATAGGAACTACAACACTACACTGTGATTGAAAGAGTTATAATTTGTTTCATCAGATTTTCAAGGACTTACGTACCAATTGTTATCAATTAAACCTACAATAGACGGAACTACACAGTTTTTAGTTTTATTCCGTGTTTAATTTAGCTATTGCCAAGGTGCGATAAGATATGTTCATCGATACCGTCTAGTAGATAGCCGTATAAAGATAATATACACAAAGTTAACATCCGTAACTCGGTACATATAGGTCACCTTGCAACTCTCGATTGATACTTTGACTGCACGGATGGCGTAGTGGTTTAAGCGGTCACCACGCCGCTTACTACTACGCTAAGTGCTGTGGGTCCGATCCCCACATGGGACTACACTTTGTGTGATCCACAAATTGTTGTTCTGAGTCTGGGTGTTCTTTGTGTCCGTTTCATGTATGTTTGTAAAGTCCCCCGCGACACAGGATATATTTATTCCTAATGTGGGAATTGTCTTTAAATAAAAAATAAAAAAAATACTGAGCATCATTAGAAGAAGACAAAAAATAAGCAAGCTGAACTTAAAACATCATTTAAAAAACAAAAGTTCTACGATCTGGTTGAGATGCTAAATATCTAATCGATAAGAGTTGAATTCGATAATTACGTAATAAATTCTTGGTTGACCTGTTAGTCTAGTCGTTAGTGATCTTTACTGCTAGGTCTTGGGTTCGATTTTCACCCGGGACAAATATTGTGTGATGAGCACGATCATTCGTTCTTTTTTTGGGTGTAATATATGCATGTATTTAGAAATATTTAAGTATGTGTTACGCATGTGCCGACGCAGCAGTCATTGCGCAGACGAAAACGCCGGCACCTCACCACCGACGTCGACTACGCTGACACAGCAAAATTTAATATAATTATTTTAGATCATTTTATGTGCATTCCATGTTTTGACTTCGATTAGGTTTCACTTAAGTGGGTTTGTAATTTCTTTTCTTTTTATTAAATTTATTTTAAGTGAATTTGCTTTTTTTTTCGAACCTCCGGCTGCAGTGTACGTAATTTATGTTTATCAGCAGTCTGATTACCATAACACAGGCTCCGGTAAATGTGGGCTCAGACAGCAGTGTGTGCGATAAGACAAATTCCTTAGAGGGCTGAAAAGTAATCTTCCTTCTCAATGAGATGGCAGAATCATCCAGTCGATAGTACACCAACCAATATATATTGGTTACAGGGTTACTGGGTAAGTCGACCTAAATACTTTAAGGGGTTGTAGTTGCCATCATTTCTGATAGATTTTGCTAGAAAATACCATATTCCAAACCTAACCGTTTTAAAGATAGACTTTTAAGATTTAAAAAAAAAAAAAATGCTGAAAATTTGCCTAATACAACTCTTTTTACTGTTTTGTGTAGTTGATAAATGGTTTTATAATTTCAATTAGTTAAATTCTAGTTAACTAAACAAACTGGGCCGCAGTAGATGGTTAATAATAGCAAATAGAAAAAAAAACATTGTTTTCTTTCTGTGACGAATATTATAAAAAAAATAATCACAGTTAAAGTGCAGATTTGTTAAAAATATGTACGTATTCTCAACTATCTAACAAGGTATAATAGTCTAGGATAGTATCAGAGTTCATAGAAAAAACTTAGATGGAACACCGAGAGTGTTAAGAATTAGCGTTAAACCCGGTAGTACCTAGTAGAGAACTTGGCTTGTATTTTTGGACTGCTATTGCTAAGTGCACTTTGATTTATGCTTCTAATACTGTTGGAGATGATGACCTATACGAACGAGGCATTTGTTCACATTTTTATTTCTTACGGATACCGCCAACGCGTATCTGCAAGGCAATTTTTTTATAATATCTTGTAAATGTTAGGTTTGGGAAATGGTATTTCATAGTGAAATCTATCAGAAATTATGGCAACTACAATCCTGTAAAGTATTTAGGTCGACTTACCCAGTTACCATGTATATATGTTGTCTATATATCTTAATATATATAAATCTCCTGTCACGATGTTTGTCCGCGATGGACTCCTAAACTACTTAACCGATTTTAAATTAAATTGGCACACCGTGAGCAGTCTGGTCCAACTTAAGAGATAGGATAGCTTAGATCTTTAATTATAGTCGCAATTTTATTTTATTGCAAATTATTGATCTATAATTACATTTTTTAATAATGTATATGGCAAAACAACGTTTGCGGGGTTAGCTAGTTTGTATATAGATCTAGGTATGTAGTGTTGTATTGTGTATATTTTAGTTGAATAGTAATGCATCCAATATACCTACCACTAACGATTTCTACACCACCTAAAGGTTAACTGAAGGAGTACATAAAGTTGTGTAAATAAATAAATAAAAGTAATACTAATGATGTGTAAATCATCATCTTTTATTTAAGTGTGTGTTT